TATTTGATAGACTTGGTCTGACTTGTCTTTCCTTTCAGTCAACTTTGTAAAATCAACATTTACATTCCCATGGTACCATTTCTAATTCTTATGATATGAAATTGAATTCTACATCATTATATATCATCTAAATCATGATGGTAAAGTTTCAATAGGTGGTCCTTTATCAAGATTTCCACCTTTTCATCATAGTTGACCATGTGTGGTTGAGGGAAGAAATCTGTAAATATGAAAGTTAAAATAAATTTGATATTCGATGTATACTCACCAAATGGAACATTTTCATGTCTGGATTCAATATGTTTTGATGAGAAACTCAAAAGTTATTGTTGACCTCTTTTACCTCACATCTTCCCTTTTCACTTGATACTTTTATACCTACAGACATGAACTTTTGAAATTTTATATGAAAGTGATTATAAATGTTGTTAATGATGATATAGACTATATAATCTCATTAAAGGATTTTGAAATTATCATTCTTCCTATGGTTTCATTTTATAATTTTTAATATGACATTATTTACAAAGTTAATATTTTATAAATTGAAAAACTAAGTATAATACATTGTTCTACTCATCATTTACAATCGAATGATATAATATTCAATAATTTGGGCTAGGGTTTGAACTTTGAAACATTGGGTCTGGTATTTCAATTTTAGGTTCAAAGGTTTGGGTTTGGGTTTGGGTTTGGGTTTGGGTTTGGGTTTGGGTTTGGGTTTGGGTTTGGGTTTGGGTTTGGGTTTGGGTTTGGGTTTGGGTTTGGGTTTGGGTTTGGGTTTGGGTTTGGGTTTGGGTTTGGGTTTGGGTTTGGGTTTGGGTTTGGGTTTGGGTTTGGGTTTGGGTTGGGTTTGGGTTTGGGTTTGGGTTTGGGTTTGGGTTTGGGTTTGGGTTTGGGTTTGGGTTTGGGTTTGGGTTTTGGGTTTGGGTTTGGGTTTGGGTTTGGGTTTGGGTTTGGGTTTGGGTTTGGGTTTGGGTTTGGGTTTGGGTTTGGGTTTGGGTTTGGGTTTGGGTTTGGGTTTGGGTTTGGGTTTGGGTTTGGGTTTGGGTTTGGGTTTGGGTTTGGGTTTGGGTTTGGGTTTGGGTTT